AAGCATAGACAAAAAAAGAAAAAAAGAACTTGGCCGTAAGCATAGCAGGACCTTTAGTCCGCATGCTACCTACCAACATTCTGTAGCATGCTCTAGATCTGCAAATGCTTACAGACAGTTTGTGCTGCAGGTGCAATTCATTTTGAATACCTCTCCTCCCAACTCTGGGAGCGATGCATCTCTTTTCCTCCACGGCCAAAACCTCCCTCCACATCATCAAAACTTCTTTGGTAAAACCCTCCATCTCCTCTGCCCCTCCCTGTCAAGTAAACAAGAAAAGGGCTCATGAGCACATGCACTAGTCTAACCTTTGCTCACCTTAATTCTGCATGAGAAACTCTGTGTGTACCAAGACGAAGGAAGGAAAATGTTACACAAGGTGACAAATGTCTGCACTCTGCTCTGGTTTAACAGAAAGTGCAGTATTTCCGCTGCTAGAAATATATTAAGTTACTGCACGTCTTTTGAGCAGGAAAAAAGGAAAGTCTGTGGTTGAAACGCAGCTAACCTCGTCCCCGTGAAGAACTTCGGCCTCTGGGTGCCCCTGCCACTGTACCTCCACCCCTTCCTGTCAGACGGAGTACTGCTGCACTATTTACAGACATGGAGAAATTTCTCTGTGGAGACAGACACGCATGCAGAGGAACGTAAGGGCCAATACATACATAGCTGCAAGCTCAGCAAGGTGTTGCGTGAGAGCAAGATAGCGAGTGGGCGTACATTCCTTATCCGTTTCGACCACAGCATGTGCCAAAATGAGAAAATGACATGAGCAAAAAAAACAAATGCCACTACTTGAATACGTAGGCACAGCTTTTCATTGAAGTTTAACCCAACTTCAGTTTCACAGAGAATAGAGAGCTGCTGGAGAAAGCACCTCTTCTACATTTCTAATCCATGTGCAAGTCTTCCGAGTAAACAGGTCAAATTCTCACCTGTTCCTCCTCTGTAAATGGGACTAATGCCAATGGTGGCAGGGGCTCCTCTTGTAAAATAGGTAGAAATTCCTTATCATGAAGATCTACCGGAATCTAAAGGGGGAGGAAAGTTTGGAAACATTTAAACCTGAATATGTAAACTGAACAAGATGCCTTAAGGTAAATGAGACTGACAGAAAATTCGTCCTTACCACGTTATCCTTTACATAAAGTGCAAGCATCTCTTCTCTCCCGTAGCGATAGTCTGCGAGTTTATACTTTGGCAATGCAGGTGAGAGCGGAGGGGAGGCCACACTGCTGCTACCCACTCCACCAGACAGGGCACGGAGCCTGGAACACAGTCAAGAGAAAACATGCTACGTCATCATATCATTAGACATGTCAGTAAACACAAATATTGTAGGTATACTTCTAAAATGAGACTGTTATTTTATAATTACATAATGTAATTACATATTGTATATTTCTGTACTTAATAGCAATTAATCGTACCTAACATTAAAATCTGTAATCAAATATTTTTTTCACACTGAAATTCCAAATGAATGTAGAAACAACAAAGACAGCATATTTTTCATATTTCTTTAATGCCACTAATTTAATGAGTAAATATAGCCATTTGACATTACAGTAAAATTGGTGCCATCATTTTTAATATTTAACAGGCCTAAAGTGTTAACGTATTAAATTAAAATGATCACTTTTAATTTAAGTGAACTTAAAAAAAAATTTCACAATGAGACCTGCAAGTATATAAATAAGCCAAGAGGGTTTAAAAGCAAAAATGTGAAGCTTGTTAACGCAGTTACACACACACACATTTAAATCAATGAAGATGTGCTGATGCGTTCTGTGATCAGATCAATGAAATAAAAAATAAAATGTGAAAAAAACTACTAGTGTGAGAAACCATGAAATGCTTAACTTGTCAATCAATCGAGTTGTAAAATCAGTGACAATGTCCTGTATACAAGTTCCCTTTCGATTCGGTCACTCTACATTGCTATGGGAATTACCCTTTTCTCCAAATACTACTGAAGCCTTATTGAATAACGCCAGTGAAACTGGCCAATGGCGTTCAAGCGCGCGAAATATGAGGGGCTCCCACTCTATATAAAGTAGCGCTTGTACGTCATCTATTCAGAATCTTTTTCTTCAGCCAACCTTCTACGAGAAGCAAGAAGCCTATCAACAAGACTTCTCCCCGTGATCTACACGCTGCAGCGGACACACCTTGTCTTCCCCTGAGGGTTCCGGTGAGCTTCGGAAACACGGATGACTCGCGATTGCCTCTCCTGCGCAGAGCCATTCGAACTCTCTGATGGCCACAAATCATGTGTCTTTTGCCTGGGTCGCGCCCACGCAGAGGTGGCGCTTGGGGGGTCGGACTGCCCCCCCTGCGGAGATATGAGACTCCGGACTCTCAAGCTCAGTGTGGCCATCGTCCAAGGCGATGAACTCGCCCTGCCGCACTCTTTCTCTGCAGCCTCTTTCGAGCCAAGGAGGAAAGTGCCGCAAGCTTCTGATGCGGATCTGTCAGGGTCAGGTGACGAGCCCGCGCCGGCTCAGTGCCCACTCGCTCCTCACCCCCCTGCTGCAGGTCCCCTTCCAGTGCGCTCCATGACTGCTGTTCTCCGCCCCTCCCCCATCGCTCAAGATGTGGCGTCCTTTGGTGCCATGGAGGGCGCTGAAGAGGAGGATGATGCCATTTTGGTGGCAGCGTCTGCGAGAGAGGAGTGATCTAACAGCCCGCTGGATTACACTGCGCCCCACGGCAGCGACGCGGGGGACCTCCATCATAGTGATGTCGAGCTCCTTAACGTCCTGTCCAAGGCAGCTGATGAGCTCGGTTTGGAGTGGGTGTCTCCCGCCGAGCCGGCCAGAAGCCGTCTGGACGAGTGGTACCTCCACCTCCCGCGGAGGCCCGGCCCGGCCCCTTTTTCCCCGAGGTGCACGATGAGATATAGTTTTGGAACGCGCCGCTCATTAGTCGAGTGCACAACCCGGGATCCTCCCTCCTGTCTTCTGTGGACGGCGCTGACCAAGTGGGGTATGTTAAACTTCCCCCCCGTGGAAGAAGCCGTCGCTGCCCATCTCTGTCCTTCAGCCGCGGCGAACTGGAGAGTGAGAAACAACTCGCCTCTCCCCTCTAAATCTTGCCGCGCCACTGCAAACTTCGCCGGCAAGGCTTTCTCCGCGTCAGGCCAAACACATGATGCACTGCACGTGATGGCGATACTCCAGGTGTATCAGGCCAAGCTGCTCAAGTCTCTGGATGAGGACGGGCCAGACCCCGAAGTGTTCAAAAAGCTCTGACGCGCCACGGATCTGGCCCTCAGAGCGACGGTGATGACAGCTCGAACGATCGGCCGCAACATTGGGAATCTTGTGGTGCTAGATCGTCACCTGTGGTTTACTCTGACAGAGTTAAAGGACTCGGAAAAATGGCCCTTCTGGACGCTCCCGTGAATCCCTCAGGTATCTTCGAAGCAGCGGTAGAGACGTTCACAGAGTGCTTCGTTGAAGTGCAGAAACAGTCGAAGGCTATTAACCATTTCCTGCCAAAGCGTGCCGGCGCAAATTCTCCTGTGCGTTCCCGCTCCTCCTCAGCACAGCGTGCGGAAAGACCGCACGCCTCTTCTGCTGCTGTTCGGCGCAAACATGAGCCGGCGGTGAGACCAAGACAGTCTTGGCCGAAGCGCCGTCAGGGCTCGAAGGGCCAGAAACCCCTTCCTGACAGAGACGGCAGGCCCCCGGCACCAGAATCAAAGCCACGTTCCTGATGCTGTCTCTCGGAGGAGGAAATCTGCACCCAGCGCCGAAGACGAGCCACTGAAAAAGTCTGCTAGCTTCGCTGTGTGTTCACCATGCCCCCCTGCCTGTTGCGGGCGGCGAGAGCAATTGTCATGTTTGTGTTTTGACTGTTCCACTATAGAGTGCAATAAAGTCGAAAAAGATACAAAACTCACCTCAATATCCTCTCACTCCCCTCCCCCCCCCCCCCACCCACCACCCACCCCCCGGGCGTATTCCACCCCCCCCCCCCCCACCCCCTCACGGAGTGCATTCCGCCCCGCCCGCAGTCACAGTTCACAGAAGCGTGGCAGTCACTGCCAGGGGTATCAGAGTGGGTTATGAAATCAATAAAGAACGGCTACACGCTTCAGTTCTTCCGCAGGCTGCTCTATTTCAACAGTGTGCTAATGTCCACTGTACGGGAGCGGAATGCCTCAGTTCTGCAAGAGGAAATACACAACCTCCT